TTCAGACATCATTAATTACATACTATTTTTGGATTTTTTTTTAAAAAAAAAAACATAAATTCACTCATGTCTCGGCATTTGTTTAATCTTCATATCAGATTGCATATACCATACGTGAAGACCAAAAATTCAGGACAATTTTATTCCCCAACATTTATTAAATACAATTTTGTTTCTTTCTTGAATAAAAAACTCAATAAACATTTAATGCATTCTAAAATTTTGGAATTTGTATAATACTGCCCCATCCAATCCTCTGGATAGCATTCAGATAGAAAATTCGAATTTCTTATACATCAATAAAACATTACATTAAATAATAAAAAAAATCAACAAGTAATATAATCATTCACATCCATCTATTCATCCACCAATGTAAAAATATACAAACATTTCATATAAATTTTAACATTGTTTATATCATACTTTATATTTCCAACTTTTTATATTATATTAAGCAAGTTTATATACATGAAATACTTTAAATTAAAAACAAAAACTAAATCTAAATGCTTTTACCAAATAATTAATGTCTTTGTGTTGATAGTGAACTGTCCATGCACATCTATATATGTATAAAAAGAAAACTTATTTATTTATTGCATTATATTTTTGGCAGTTTTTTAATTTTCTTTTTAAATTATTCCTAAAAAAATCAATCAGCTATATATGTACCCTAAATTTATGGATTTTATAGATTTAATTTAGATAAATTACGACTGATGCATACAATTTTTCAAAAGTCAAATATTTTTCTCAATTTTTCTATATAAAAAAAAATTGATTAGCATAAAATCGGGAATTTCGAATTAGTCAAAATATTATCACATATATCTTTTTCTAATTGAAACAGATCAATTGTTTATTAAAAAACAAACCGGATTTCATCATTAAAATTGGGTTAAATTAGGTGAAATCCGGCACGAAAATTTTGTAAAAGTCAAAATTCTCTCATTTTTATTAAAAAAAAAAAAAAGATGTTTACCATAAAATTGATAATTTTGAATTAGGAAAAATACAATAACATTATCTTACCTAATTGCAACATATCATGTTTATTAACAAAAATCAAATTCTATAGAAATCAGACCCCAATTTCAAATTGAAAATTAAAACTTAGAAATCCCTTATCATTTAGCTACTACCTTCTTTAGTTTGGTATTTTTTAAACATAAAACAGAGTTAGATAATATTAATTTAAAATTTAAAATAAAATCGGATCAAAACTTTCTAAAAATTTGGATTTTGTTTAATCCTCCAGAATACACTTACACAATTTTTTCTTTCCTTAAATTAAGTATTTTACAATTTTGCAATAATAAAGTTATAGATTATCAAGAAAGACGTTTAAAATCTACGATATATTTGGCTATGCATTCTTCATAAACCAATATAAATCATATCATATATATTCTGCTAAATAATTTAATTTATTTATTTAAGCCTATCTGAATTCAATATAATTTGTGGCAATAGACGATATACCAACAGACCAAACAAATAATATTGTGTGCAAAGATGTATTTAACAGAAAACTAGCCCGTGCATCGCGCGGGTGACGCGCTAGTTTAATACAAATAAGACGAGTTGCACCTTGAAACAAAAGAAGAAATTTTATTATAAATGTGTCTTTTTTTTGTTATCTTTGGTAAAGTAAAAGAGAAGGGATCATATGAGAATGAGAGATAATGAAAGGAATAAAAATGATTCTGGATCATTCGATTCATCAAATTAATGGTAATGATTAAGTCAAAATTTATTACGTTATAGTCAAACATGGGTTGCATCCTTGTAAATAATTATACATTGCATTGTCAATTATAAACATTATACCACTAAGAGCACCCACAATGTTTTGGGTCTCTTAGAAAGCCATGTAGGAAATAGACCTAGTCTATACAGAAATGTTTCACAATGCAATAAATAGTGGACCTAGTCTAACTTATGTGGCACTAGAAAAAAGAGACTAAGTCCACACTTGGGTCTATTTTGGACACAAGTGCAAACCCACCTAGTCATTAATTGTTCATTTTTTTTTTCTTTTTAATAGGCAAAACACATTTTTTTTTTGTATGCATTTATTATTACTATATTTTTATTGGTTGTTTAGTATTCTAGACCTAGTACTTTTTTGTTTTGCATTGGATAAATTTTGGATTTTTTAGCTTGGGTTTGTCCATGTCATTATGGACTTAAGTCTATTTATTTGCCACATATGTAAAAAGAGACCCAAAGCATTGTGGATGCTCTAAGTGAGGGTATATTTGACATTATATATTTCTAGTGGACCCCACCACTAACCCCAATAATCTACCCACCTTCTTTCACACACAAACACCTACACACACAAAAACGCATATGACGCACACATTAAACATACACAAACACACATATGCTCGGCAGAACCACCGGCAGACCTCAGCCGCGCCGCCGCAAGCCTCTTTTGTAACGCCCCAGTATTTTAGTAATGATTATATTGTAATTATCTTCCAAGTGTGAGCTAATTCATATGATTAAATGCTCAAAGTTAGTTTTCAAGAGTAAACTAATCGATTTTAAAAGTTACAAATTCAAGTTATACAAGAGATATTCAGATTAGATTGAGTATCAAGGTCGAATATATATGTAGTTAAGTCTCGATTTTCTATCATGAATTGAGAATAAATAGTATTATTCAAGAAACAGATCGAATCCAAATGTATTCTAATTATTCTCGAGTCCTAAAAACATAAGTCATGATAAGGTCGGTTTAAGCCACACCACATGGTCCAACACTTGCTTGACCTAGCGCACCTCACGAACCAACAATAGTGCGCATGTCATGAATGTTGCACCTTGCACTACTCGGACCAAGTAATGGCCGAGCAGCTCGCGCGCAACTCGAGTGTGCTAGTTCCACACGCGGCTTAGTAAACGAGAGCAGCCCAAGTGCGCCAACAACCACACACTAACATAGTACCCTAGCAAACATGGACCCAAAAAGGTGGTGGAAGTCATCAAACATAATCCCAAATTTCACTGCACGGGCCTCGTGCGCAGCTAGCGCAGCTAGTAGCGCAGCCCAGCACGACCCAGCAGACGGCACGCCCGCGAGCCCCTTAACACAACTAGTGTGCACCCAACAGCGCAGCCCAGTGCGCGCCCAGCAACGCAGCCCAGCGAGGCCCGCCAACGCAGGCCAGCAGCCGTCAACGCACGCGGCCAGCGCCCAATTGAAGCCCAACGAGTTTTTAGCCCATTTCTTCGGTCAAACACGACTTTGACGGATATCAGCTAATTAACCTTACCCTATACTCCCTTGGCACCAAAACCAAGAAGGGATGGATGAGGCAAAAATCAAAATTTTCATTATTTTAAAACAAATTGAAGGGGTTTCTTCCTTATTTGAACCCCAACGAAGGAGAGAGACCAGTGCACGTCCCAATACTTAGAAAAAATTCACAAAAATTTAGAAAAACTTCGATTATAGTCTCGGTTGGCCATATTCAAGCCCTTAGACGCACACCGAGTCTATATCGAACAACATATCATTCTCCTCAAATTTTCTCGAGCCATATTAAAACCAGAGGTTATATATTACCTAAGGGGCATTATCAATCAGCCTCCATAGCCTTTCATTCCACTGAGCATCGTCGTTGCCTAGGGAGACCCAACATAGGGCCAAAGGAGGGTCTTGTGAAACTTTCCGAGTTCGGTCAAGGTAAACAATTTCTAACCAATTTTTCCAGCCTCCTTTTTTACTCCCTCCTGACCTGACAGAAGATTATCATGTAGAGAAATCATGTTTTGCTCGGGTAGAATGATAATTTCGACTTTTTGAAGTTTAAGGGCTTGTTGATGGTCGTGGCATCTGTCTTCCCCCTCATTCGGGGGGGTATGGGGCCCCCATTGATGGTTGTGCCCATGCACTGGGGACTCATGGCCTTCCACAGTGCTCCAGTCCTAGGGTGAAGACCCATGTTTAGACTTTATGTGGTTTTTGCCCTCCCCAGGACTCGAACTCCAACACAAACACACAGTAGAAACACGTACATTTACTAAACATTCTCGAGGTCACGGGTATTTTTGCTGGGCGCGGGCGACGGTTGGCACGGATGCGGCACGAGAATGCACGGGCACGGGCACGAGGGATAGTAAACTCTCGATGTCGTGGGTGAATTCGCGGGCGCGGTCATCGGAATCGCGACACTCTCGAGCGCACGGGTGGATCCGCGAGGCGTGGGCGTCGGCAGGTGACACTCGCGAGGTCGCGACTTGATCCGCGCAGTCGTGAATGTGGACGTCCTAGGCACGAGTGTCGTGCGTCGACGAGGTAGCGAGCTTTGGGGCGAGTTCACGAGTGGCAGGGTGACATGCGTCATATTTACGTGCATTTTATAGTGATTTTCGTGTCTATTTTGTTGTAGTTTAATATTTAATTAATTAATTAATTAATTAATTAATTGTTTTTATTAAACTATGATGAAGTGTGATATTTTGAATTTTAACAGGAATTGGGGCCGGAATAATTATTAGAGTCGAAAAGAGTGTGAAACGAACATAAAAGTAGTGCAAACCACTCATTGGGACGAGCCCAATTACACGATCCACAAGTAACATAAAGCAGTAACATTTTAGAGGAAATTATATGTGACACGACTCCATATATATTTATTTACAACTTTACACTTCAACAAATAAATTTAGCACAACTACTAATTCTTGTCATTTGTATTGCATTTATACGAAAATAAGAACAATAATATATTGGGGTCAGTTAATGCTGATTTTGTGGGATAACTTACCAAATGAAATCAAAACTACCCCCCATTATCGCACATAATCAATTATCTCTCATCTCACAACCCCAAACCCACGATCAAACAACTCAACTACAGCATCTGTACACCCAAGGTTTCATCTTCATGCCAAAAACGAAATTGCCTCCCATAGCAGGCGACCCACCAACTCCCGGTACCGGTGGGGATGCACACAGGCGATCGAGCACTCGTATCAAGCAGATCCTGGCCAGAGATAAAAGCAAACTCATACAAAAGAAGCTCGATTTCGAAAAGAACATGAAGCCAACTAGAACAAGCAAGGAACTCGGCAAATCCCGACACATTAGGCAGAGTGCCAACCCAGATTCCGACGAATTTCAGTCGGACCATGGCGAATTTCATCACAAAGATGCTCGGAGAACTCAAAAAAGAAAGATCTCAAATGTGGCTGAAGCAGAAGAGTCGCGAGATCCAAATTATCATGCTGAGGATGAAATACACGCTGTAGTAGATGATTCTGAATATGAGGATGAGCAAATATCTGGGATGAAATTCAGTAAAAAAAAGAAGGATGGATTACAGGAAGGACGTCATTTCAAAAAAAAAAAAGAGGACAAAAGATAGCACTACTGTAGGCAATACAACTGGGGATTCTCCGATAGTCAAGGTATTCAAGGTGAACTAGTATTGTTGAATGTTATCTGTTAATTTCATATATTGAGTTCCTAGTTTACAAAGTCCAAATATTGTATTTTCCATATAATGTGGTCCCATTGTTGACAAAGTTCTTTTAGGTTGATATAAATTTGACGAAAAAATTTGGTCCCACTGAACCTTTTAAAATTGTTGAAGAATACTCTTTTACTTTGATAAGATTCATGTTCGAAATCGAGCTTTTTTTGTAAATCTTATTTTCTGTGTAAAGGTCTTTTGTAGTCATGTTTGAACATGGTTTGTTATGGTTTGGTTTGTTTGTTATGACAATATTAAGTCACATAGCATATGAATATCCTTAGTTTAGTTGTCTGATGAGTAAATGAGTAGTCTATTTGATGTTTATGTTTATGTTTACTTCAGTGTAATGTGAGATTAATTCACAGTGCATATGTATAGGTTAGTTTAAAGCAATCCTGAGTTTATTTACTATATATATGTATGTATGTATATATATATATATATATATACATATATATATATATCAATGTTTGTAACCATGTCAAATTGTATATGTCTCAATAATTGAAGGTTTATGTTTGTTATGTACAATGTTATTAAGTTATCACATCAACTTATGTTATTTCTTGTAGGAGTGGGAATTGATCATACCAAATCCCAGGGATTTAAATGTTAAGGTTCTAAACAGTAATGACAATATCAGAGACGATTCTACAATAAGTGAAATCAAGCGAATGCTTTCAGCCGAGCAATTAGATTTGTTTAGAGAATCTGCATTTGGTAAGTTCTTGGATCTACCACACTGCAAGGTTCAAAACCAGCTTGTCAATCAGATTCTGTTACGGGAGGTGCACCAATCAAGGAGCGACGAGCTTTGGCTTGACTTTGGGGGGAGGTTTTTTCGGTTTGGCATCAAAGAATTTGCCCTGATAACAGGGCTGAAATGTACAGGTCCTTGCAAGAAGTTGAATATTCCTCAAGTACACGATGGAATGTACGACAAGTTCTTTTCTGGCGTTGGTTTAAACAGAAACTTCATCCGCTGGCAGTTTCTACAATAATACTGGAAAAGCGATGAAGATGCTGTTAAATTTGCCAAGTTACACTTACTTGCAAATTTTTTAATTGGGTCGCAAGACACTCTAAAGGTAGAAAGATGCTACCTTGACATGATAGACAGCGCCGATTGTGACGATTTTGATTGGGGAACCGAAGTGTTTGAGTTCACGATGCACCATCTGAAGAAATCCACCCAATATCGAAAATAGATCCATAAAGCCGGGAAACCAGTGACTGGTGGCTACCTCTACAGGTGCTACGGGTTTATCCTTGCACTCCAACTTTGGTTTTACGAGGTTTGCACCTCTGCAGATGGTGTCATTTGCACATGCCTACGCGGAAATGACATGCCCAGAATGCTCAAATGGGAAGTACGTGGTAGTCACAACCGTGCCTTCATGCAAAGAATATTTTCAAATTTGGATTCTAGCAAGGTAATAACTATATCTGTACATAATTATTTGCAAGATACGTACATATGTTCCTGTATTTATTTAAATACCCCCATACACTAAATTCTTAATTTTTTTTTTTATCGTCCGTTCAAGAACTTGATACCCACCGACGAAGAGAAACACACGTTGTTTATCAATGATTTTTTCAAGAGCAAGAATGAGTTTAATCGTGATTAAATCCCAACAACCGACCACCATCAGCATAAAACTGAAGCAGACGTCATAAAACGTCTTGACAGACTTACCCATGAGGTTGAAACTCTGAAGCAAATTTTCCTTGACTTTTCCAACCGGGTATTTGCAGAATTTGCCTTATTCAAGGAAAAGTTCAATGTAAGTACATATTTGTCAAAGTATAATAATTTTGATAAGTGTTGCAAGTAGTTTTTTTGTATTCAGTTTATGTCATTTTTTTGTATATTTCATTTCAAAGTATAATATTTCTGGTTAGTATAAAGATTCTGATTAGTATATGAATCGTCTATATCATGTTTATATATATGAATCACAATTCTGATTATTAAATGAATAGTCTATATCATGTTTATGTATATTTCATTTCACTGTAATCATGATTTTAATTGACAATGCATTTTGTAGTTAGCTTTAAATCACTAATAACTTTATTTATTGCATATAGTTATGTATACATATATACATATATACAAATGTATATATATACATATATACAAATGTATATATATATATACATATATATATATATATATGTGTGAGCGAATTGTATACGTCTCAACATTTTCTATCCTTAGTTTGGTTTATGACGCAATATATGTGAAACATGCCAGAACGTGTTTATGATTGAAAACCCTTTAACAACATAATATGTCATATATATAATTATTGTTAGTTCATGAATATTTATGATACCCCGTTTGTATTTATTTTTTAAATTCATTACATATCAATTTCATTTAAAAAGTTAAAGGTAAGTTTTATGTCAAGTTTAAGATGAGAAAATTGTTTATTAAGGATAGTTTGTTTTCTTCATCAATGTTCTTGTTAAATTGTATGTTCATTTAATATTTTTTTTCATATCACATGATAGATTAATATATCTCAAACATACTACGGTCATGTTTTTTGGTATATATTTTTCTTTTTTTTTTTTGGGAATTGATATTAATTTGTTGATATTCATTATTACATTAGGTTGGTCAAAATAAAGACGGACACGTTACTGATGAAGCATCTGCTGGAATTCACTCTGGACCTCGTGAAATGGAAGAAGCCCCTCATACAGATGAAGGAGTTCAAATGGTCGGTTTAATCTTAATTAATGTGTTGTACTATTAAATATTATATTTACATATATATAAAATTAATATTATTATCATGTGACGAAGGACTATCCAAAGACATCAGATGTTGTTATCGATCAACCGGGACAGGTTATCGCGCTCTTACAAAAATACATGTGTTTAATTTTACATATATATATTTTTTTAACATAAACAAATGGTGTATAATATTTTTTAAGGATTCTGTATTTTATATACAGTACTCATTTCTTTTTTCTTTTTGTTTGGCTTTTAAACAGAATGTTACCGAGGCTACTATAATGGCAACAAGAACTAAATCCGAAGCTCTAATGAAGCGCGCCGCTGATTGTGTATCTAAAAAAGAAAAAAATCTTCCATAGTTTATGTCGTGCATATAACATATATATGTATAAGTATATACATATATATATATATACATATTATACATATCTT